CTACCTCCATCCCTCACTCCTGCCAACACCGCAGATTTTGCAGCGCCAAATCTGCATGCAGAGAAGGCAGACGTCGTGCTCCGCAGGGAGAGGGATACTATTTCTTGTGCCTCCGTGTACCAGGAAACTTGATAGCCCAATGGGCCCCTCCTTGGTTCCCTTAACAGGTGGAACTGCCAGAATCTCAGCAATCGTGTCAGATATGCCCATTAGTCCATGTGTCAGTGGACGGTGCAGGCTAACCTTTGTGGCTCAGAAGAGGACTTCTAGGAGGGATAGGACTGGTCTCCAGTGAGGCCTTTGTTCCTGGCCGAATTCACTGAACTGAAGACTTGTTCAGACACTTGGAACAAGTGGCAGGAACCAGAAACTGAATAGTTTTCATGATGCTTGCGTGGTCCAGAGACCTTTCCTTGTTGAGCTTTTCACCCTCAAGTCTAATTCTGTCCTTTCTCTTTGTGGCAATTTACAGATGCTTGGCCAGCCACTGACTTACCTGCATCGACAATAGGTAAATCACCCTCTCACCGCTCCCTAGAGCTCACTGCCTATCTCTTTCAAAAGTTTCTTTAGAAATTGATGGAATGAGGCTGAAGGTGGGCGCCTTCGCTATTCATGTCCCTGCAGGTTGCCTGGGGAGGAACGTGGCCACCCTGGGAACCTGGTCCTGGGTCTGATGATGGAGGGTGGAGTTGCTGTTGACCAGTCTCCCCTGGGAATCTGTGTTATGTGTTCAGGGAAGATCCTCATCCAGGTGCTCAAGACAGTTCCCTAATCCTCTGGGTTCTTGTTCCTGGGCCTCAGCCAACGGGTACAGAATTGAGCTGAGTAGGGGACAGCACCTATCCCCACAGCTGTCTGGCAATGTCCTGTTATTGCTGGCCCTTTGCCAGAAGCCCGAGAGAACCATATGGGTGCCACGAAACTCCCGACCATGGGGCAGGTCTCGCCCTCCTATCCGGAGCTGTGCAGCTTCATCCTGTGTGAGAATGGAGTCAGAATGGGGAGTGAGGCTTCCATTCCTGTCACTTCTAGAGGGGTTTCAGGTTCTTCCCCAGTACTTGAGCTTCCATAGATCTGGGCAGAGTAGGACATCACTACTTCTTCCACTGCGATGAGACTGAACTGCTTTTCAGAAAGTATTCAAAGGTGATTACTTGCCCAAGAGACTTTGGCCATCAGGAAGTGCCCTGAGTATGGAACATTCCTTAGATCATTGATCTCATGATCCATATGGATGAAGAGTTTTTGTGTTCTTCTGTAGGATCTGAATCTAGTTTGGCCCTGAGGCTGGTGAATGGAAGTGACAGGTGTCAGGGCCGAGTGGAGGTCCTGTACCGAGGCTCCTGGGGCACCGTGTGTGATGACAACTGGGACACCAATGATGCCAATGTGGTGTGCAGGCAGCTGGAATGTGGATGGGCCCTGTCGGCCCCAGGAAATGCCCGGTTTGGTCAGGGCTATGGACCCATTGTCCTGGATGACGTGCGCTGCTCAGGGTATGAGTCCTACCTGTGGAGCTGCCCCCACAATGGTTGGCTCTCCCACAACTGTCAGCACAGTGAAGACGCTGGTGTCATCTGCTCAGGTGGGCCTCCAAGACCTTGGGCTCCCTCTGTTGGGCTGGAATTCGCTCAGGAAGAAAGTCCTAATTACATTCTGATCTCCTCAAAGCTTGTTCTATGTTTCCCATGTTTCTGAAGTCTTGTTAGCGCTCTGCTCAGAATCCATATGAATTCACTACCTATTGTTCCTGTGGTTACCTGGGACAGGGACCAAGCTCAAACTGCAACCCAGACTTTATCCCCATCCTGAGGCAGTGTAAGGAAGAGGCAGAGGAGAACAGTGCTGGCTCCCCAGGGCTCCACTTCTCCCCTGCTGAGTAGCACTTGGTGAGGGTATCATGGACACAGCACAGACAGCAGGAAAGGGCAGTGATCCTCTCACTGCAAGACACACTGGACTAAGGATGTTTGTCTGGGGGTGGACTCTCAGCTGACAGCCAATAGGGGGATGTGGAAATAGAGGCAGAAGGCTCACAAGTGCACAAGGGTGTCTGTTCCTGTCAGGCGTGTGTCACACGGAGTTGGAGTCCTTGACCTCAGCACTTTTCAGAACACTGCAGAGCACTGCCTGTGCCCCAGGTCTGGTGTGGGGAGGGCAGCCCCCATGGTCTGGTGTGGGGAGGCAGGCCAGGCAGGACCTTGTTATTGCCTGTGGTTGGGGCTGGAAGATCACATGAGGGATTTTGGCTGGAGTGGCCTCCTCAGCCCTGCTGACTCAGGAACTGCCAAGACATACCAGGGAAAGGATTGGTTTTCAGTCAACCTGGTCACCCTGGGCAGACACCAGGTTAATCACCTTGAAGGGGGCAATGATCAGGATCTGCCCTGATCTCTTCCAAGGAACATCTCTGTGGGAAAGTGCATGGCAATGACCTTCTGTGTGCCAGGGGAAAAGGATGGACTGGGTGTCAGACTCGTGCAGTTCCTTCCTCTTTATTCTAGTTTTACAGTTTCTGTTAATGCATCTGATCTGACCTTCTCTTTTCTTTGTCACAGCTTCCCAGTCCCGGTCAACGCCCAGGCCAGGTGAGTCCCCGGCATCCTTTCTTGGGATGTCCCTTCTCTTTCTGCCCAATCACCCCTTCCCCCACTCCACAGCGCTCTCCTGCTCTTCTGTGTGGGTACTGTGGGGCAGATAACATCTCCCCACCACTTTGTAACGGAGACCCCAGCATGGCGCCTCAACAGACATGGGATTGAGGAGGCTTTGACTTCTCCATTTATCTCAGCTTTCATGAAGCAGTTTCAAACTGTACTATGGGTAACCCTTACAGTTTCAGGAAGTGGTCTCATGTTTAATAAGCTTTGACTCCTTTATATTGAGAGCTGATCTAACCTTTCAGAGAACTGAGAGTGGTTGAAAAAGTCACCTGGGAAGGCAATGTCAGTTGCAGCCTTAAACATGACTTTGTCCATGGGCAAGCTTTGCCAGCGCAGGCCTGATGCCTTCACCCCTCACTCCATCAAACACCCCAGATTTTGCAGGGCCACATCTGCATCCAGAAAAGGCAGAGGCCGTGCTCACAGGGAGAGCAATAGTAAATATTTCTGGTGCCTCCACTCACCAAGAAATTGATACCCTTTGAGCAGCTTTTTGGTTCCCTAAACATTTAGGCTGGAACTGTCAGAGTCTCAGCAATGGCGTCAGATGTTCCCATCAGTCCATGTGTCAGTGGATGGGGCAGGCTAACCCTTTGTAGCTGAGAAGAGGACATCTAGGAGGGATAGGACGGGTCTCCAGTGAGGGCTTTGTTCCTGGCTGAGCTCACTGAGCTGAGGACTTGGACAGACACTTGGAGCAAGTGGCAGGAACCAGAAACTGAATACTTTTCCTGATGCTTGCCTGGCCCGGAGACCTATCCTTGTTGAGCTTTTCACACTCATGTCTAATTCTGTCCTTTCCCTTTGTTGCAATTTACAGACGCTTGGCCAACCACTGACTTACCTGCATCGATAACAGGTAAATCATCCTCACACCCCTCCCTAGGGCTCACTCTCTACCTCTTTCAAGTATTTCTTTTGAAAATGCTGGAATGAGGCTCAAGGTATGCTCCTCTGTTTTTCATGTCCCTGCAGGTTGCCTGGGGAGGAATGTGGCCTCCCTGGGAACCTAGTCCTGGGTCTGATGATGGAGAGTGGAGGGTCCTAGTAACCTGTCTCCCCTGGTATTCTGCTTTATATGGTCAGGAAAGACCCTCATTTAGGTGCTCAGAACAAGCCGTGGATGGCTCCCTGATCCTAACACGTCCTCATTCCTGGCCCTCAAGCCATAGTTTGTAGATTTGCAAAGAGTGGGGGAAATCGCCTGTCCCCGTACGTGTCTGACAGTGTCCTGCCATTCCTGGCAGTTTGCCAGAAGCCAGAGAGGACCATGTGGGTGTCACAAAACTCCTGAACATGGGGCAGGTCTTGGCTTTCTACATGGAGCTGTGCAGCTTCATCCTGTGTGAGAATGGAGCTCAGAATGAGGAGTGAGACGTCCATTCCTGTCACCTCCAGTGTGGTTACAGGTCCTTCCCCAATACGTGAGCTTCCATAGTCCTGGGCAGAGTGGGACCTCACTGCTTCTTCCCTGTGTTGAAGCTGCAGCTCTGTCTGTAATCGCATTCAAAGGTGATTATATGCCCAAGAGACTCTGGCCATTAGGAAGTGCCCTGAGTGTGGAACATTGCTTACATCGTTGACCTGATGATCGATACGTATGAATGTTGGAATATATGCTGGGTGCCACAAAGAAAAATCAGCACTGAGACAAAGGATCTTTCGGCAACACAATTTTTACTTCCCTGACTGCAGGAAGGGTACCCCTGGTAGCCATCATTCCACAAGAGTACAAAGAGCAAAGGGAATACACACACATTTATTCCTTACGCATTTGGGGTTGTCCTTACTGCTGATGTCTGATCTCCATTGGCTGGAGCCAGACCTCACGTATTAAACTGAAACTGGATTGGCTAACAGCTTCTTTAAACTTTTCTAAACAGGGAAAGGCAACGGAGAGCTGGAACATGCCTGTGAGCAATACAGCACAGGAACCTTGGTTAAAGCACAGGGCCATAGAATGTACTATGTGCCTGCAAGCATGGCACGTCTTCTAACAGCTACATAGTATAGTGCCTAACAAAGTCATTAGCACACTTGTTCTGTAACAAGAAATGAAACTTTTAAAAGTAACCTTTCTACTTTCCACAATGATGAGTTCTTGTGTTCCCCTGTAGGATCTGAATCTGGTTTGGCCCTGAGGCTAGTGAATGGAGGTAACAGGTGCCAAGGCCGAGTGGAACTCCTATACCGAGGCTCCTGGGGCACCGTGTGTGATGACGGCTGGGACATCAGTGATGCCAATGTGGTTTGCAGGCAGCTGGAGTGTGGCTGGGCCACGTCAGCTCCAGGAAATGCCCGGTTTGGTCCGGGCTATGGGCCCATTGTCCTGGATGACGTGCGCTGCTCAGGGCATGAGTCCTACCTATGGAGCTGCCCTCACAATGGCTGGCTCTCCCACAACTGTGGCCATAGTGAAGACGCTGGCGTCATCTGCTCAGGTGCGCCTCCCAGACCGTGGGCTCCCTCCCCTGGACTGGAGTTTGCTCAGGAAGAGAGTCTCAATTACATTCTGATCTCCTCACTGAAAGCTTGTTCTATGTTTCCCATATTTCTGAAGTCTTGTTAGCATTCTGTTCAGAATCAATATGAATTCACTGCCTAGTGTTCCTGTGGTCACTTGGGACAGGGACCAAACTCAAACTGTAACCCAGACTTTATCCCTATCATGAGACAGTGCAAGGAAGAGGCAGGAGAGAAAAGTGCTGGCTCCCCCAGGCTCCATTTCTCCCCTGCTGAGTAGCACTGGGTGAGGGTGTCGTGGATACAGCACAGACAGTGGGCAAGGAGGGATCCTCTCACTGCGGGAAACTCTGAACTAAGGATGCTTGTCCGGAGGTGGGTTCTCAGCTGAGACCCAATAAGGAGGACTAGAAATAGAGGCACACGGGTTAGGAGTGTAAACGGGTGTCTGTTTGTATCAGGTTGGGTCACGTGGGGTTGGAGTCCTTGACCACAGCTCCTTTCAGAACACTGCAGAGCACTGCCTGTGCCCCGGGTCTGGTGTGGGGAGGGCAGCCCCCATGAGGCCGGCCAGGCATGGCCTTGTTATACCCTGTGGTTGGGGCTGGATGATCCCATGAGGAATTTTGCTGGGAGTGGCCTCCTCAGACTTGCTGACTTAGGAGCTGCCAAGTGGTGCCAGGAAGAGGTTTGGTTTTGGGTCAACCTGGTCACCATTAGTAGACACCAAGTTAGTCTCCTTGAAGCTGGCAATCACGGACATGATCTGCCCTGATCCGTTCCAAGGAGCATCTCTGTGGGGTTGTGCATGGCAATGTCCATCCCTCTGTGATAGGGGACTAGGATGGACTGAGTGTCAGAGTCGCCCAGTTCCTTCCTCTTTTGTTCCAGTCCTGACAGTTTCTGTTAGTGCATCTGATCTGACTCTCTCTTTTTCTTACAGCTTCCCAATCCCAGTCAACTCCCAGGCCAGGTGAGTCCCCAGCATCTGGGATGTCCCTTGTCTTTCTGCCCAATTACCCCTACCCTCAATCCACAGAGCTCTCCAGCTCCTCTGGGCAAATACAGTGGGGCATATTATTTTCCTACCACTCTGTAACTGAGACCCAGCACAGCAGTTCAACAGACATAGAGGATGGAGGAGGCTTCTGACTTCTGTTCCATTTATCTCAGCTTTCATGAAGCAGTTTCATACTGCACTGTGGGTAAACCTTACAGGTCCAGGAAGTGGCCTCATGTTTAATGAGCTTTGGCTGCTTTATATTCAGATCTGATCTCTCCTTTCTGAGAATTGAGAGTGGTTGATAACGTCATCTGGGAAGGCAATGTCCGAGGAAGCCTTAAATATGCCTTTGTCCATGGGCAAGCAATGTCGGTGCAGGCTTCTACCTCCATCCCTCACTCCTGCCAACACCGCAGATTTTGCAGCGCCAAATCTGCATGCAGAGAAGGCAGACGTCGTGCTCCGCAGGGAGAGGGATACTATTTCTTGTGCCTCCGTGTACCAGGAAACTTGATAGCCCAATGGGCCCCTCCTTGGTTCCCTTAACAGGTGGAACTGCCAGAATCTCAGCAATCGTGTCAGATATGCCCATTAGTCCATGTGTCAGTGGACGGTGCAGGCTAACCTTTGTGGCTCAGAAGAGGACTTCTAGGAGGGATAGGACTGGTCTCCAGTGAGGCCTTTGTTCCTGGCCGAATTCACTGAACTGAAGACTTGTTCAGACACTTGGAACAAGTGGCAGGAACCAGAAACTGAATAGTTTTCATGATGCTTGCGTGGTCCAGAGACCTTTCCTTGTTGAGCTTTTCACCCTCAAGTCTAATTCTGTCCTTTCTCTTTGTGGCAATTTACAGATGCTTGGCCAGCCACTGACTTACCTGCATCGACAATAGGTAAATCACCCTCTCACCGCTCCCTAGAGCTCACTGCCTATCTCTTTCAAAAGTTTCTTTAGAAATTGATGGAATGAGGCTGAAGGTGGGCGCCTTCGCTATTCATGTCCCTGCAGGTTGCCTGGGGAGGAACGTGGCCACCCTGGGAACCTGGTCCTGGGTCTGATGATGGAGGGTGGAGTTGCTGTTGACCAGTCTCCCCTGGGAATCTGTGTTATGTGTTCAGGGAAGATCCTCATCCAGGTGCTCAAGACAGTTCCCTAATCCTCTGGGTTCTTGTTCCTGGGCCTCAGCCAACGGGTACAGAATTGAGCTGAGTAGGGGACAGCACCTATCCCCACAGCTGTCTGGCAATGTCCTGTTATTGCTGGCCCTTTGCCAGAAGCCCGAGAGAACCATATGGGTGCCACGAAACTCCCGACCATGGGGCAGGTCTCGCCCTCCTATCCGGAGCTGTGCAGCTTCATCCTGTGTGAGAATGGAGTCAGAATGGGGAGTGAGGCTTCCATTCCTGTCACTTCTAGAGGGGTTTCAGGTTCTTCCCCAGTACTTGAGCTTCCATAGATCTGGGCAGAGTAGGACATCACTACTTCTTCCACTGCGATGAGACTGAACTGCTTTTCAGAAAGTATTCAAAGGTGATTACTTGCCCAAGAGACTTTGGCCATCAGGAAGTGCCCTGAGTATGGAACATTCCTTAGATCATTGATCTCATGATCCATATGGATGAAGAGTTTTTGTGTTCTTCTGTAGGATCTGAATCTAGTTTGGCCCTGAGGCTGGTGAATGGAAGTGACAGGTGTCAGGGCCGAGTGGAGGTCCTGTACCGAGGCTCCTGGGGCACCGTGTGTGATGACAACTGGGACACCAATGATGCCAATGTGGTGTGCAGGCAGCTGGAATGTGGATGGGCCCTGTCGGCCCCAGGAAATGCCCGGTTTGGTCAGGGCTATGGACCCATTGTCCTGGATGACGTGCGCTGCTCAGGGTATGAGTCCTACCTGTGGAGCTGCCCCCACAATGGTTGGCTCTCCCACAACTGTCAGCACAGTGAAGACGCTGGTGTCATCTGCTCAGGTGGGCCTCCAAGACCTTGGGCTCCCTCTGTTGGGCTGGAATTCGCTCAGGAAGAAAGTCCTAATTACATTCTGATCTCCT